ACACTGAAAACTATGAAACATTGCTGAAAGAAAGTAAAGCAAACACAAATAACCAAAACAATCTTGAGAAAGAAAAACAAAGCTGCAAGTCTCACACTTCCTGATCCCAAAACGTGTTACAAAGCCACAGTAATAAACACATTATGCCCCAGTGTTAAGATATACACAGAGCAATGGAACAGACAGACAGCTCAGAAATAAATCTATATATGGTCAGAAGATCTGTAAAGAGGTGCCAAGGCTACTCAGCGGGAAAAGCATAATCTCTTGAACAAATGGTGTTGGTAAAATTGAATATCCACATGCAAAAGAGTCAGGTTGACCTTTACCTTACACCATATACAAAAATTAACTGAAAATAGATTAAAGAGCTAAACATAAGAACTGAAACCACAAAACTCCTAGGAGAAAAATTGGTGAAAAGCTTCATGAGTTTAGATTTTTTTTTAACTATGACAGCAAATATAAAGGCAGCAAAAAGAAAAATAGATGAAACTACAACAAACTGAACAAACATCCACACAGCCAAGAAAACAATCAACAGAAGGTAAAGACAACCTATGAAATAGGAGTGAATATTTGCAAACCATCTATCAAATAAGGGGTTTATAGCTAGAACATATAAAGAACTCTTACATCTCAACATCGTTGATTAAAAAACTGGCAAAAGATCAGAGTAGACATTTTTTAAGATGATATACAAATGGTCAATTATATGAAAAGATGTTTAACATGACTAATCATCAAGAAAGTGAAATATCAAAACCACAATTAATTATCACCCTATACCCATAAAGATGGATACTATCAAGGAAGGAAGGAAGGAAGGAAGGAAGGAAGGAAGGAAGGAAGGAAGGAAGGAAGGAAGGAGAAGGAAAGGAAAAAAAAGAATAAAATGTTGGCAAGAATGTGGAGAAATGGGAACCCTTGTACAGTGCTATTGCTGTAGAAAATATTGAAGCTTCTCAAAAAATTAAAAATAGAATTACCATATGATCCTTCAACCCAACATCTTACCTTTGAACGATGCAACGGTTAGTGGTGCCAAGTCCCCGTGCAGTGAAAAATCTGAATATAACTTTGACTTACCCCAAACTTAACTACTAAAAGCCTACATTTGACCAGAAGCCTTGCCTATATTATAAACAGCTGAGTAACATATATTTTGTATATTTTATGTTTTATATGCTTTTTTCTTAAAACATAGCAAATTAGAGAAAAGAAAATGAGACTGAGAAAATCAAAAAAAGAAACAATACATTTACAATATTGAACTGTATTTATAAAAACAAACAGAAAAACAAACCCATGTATAAGTTGACCCATGCAGTTGATATTTATATTGTTCAGTGATCCACTGTATCTCCAAAAGAACTGAAAACATGATCTCAAAAAGATATTGCATATTCATTAGAATATTATTCACAATAGCCATTGGGTGGAAGTCAACTACATATCCATCAATAGGTTAATTGATAAAGAAAATATTATAATATGTACAATGAAATATTATTCACCCCTTGAAAAGATGGAAATGCTATTCTTCCCTACAACATGGATGAAATTTGAGGAGATTATGTTAAGTGAATTAATTCAGGTGCAAAAAGAGAAATACTGCATTATTCCATTCATAAGAGTAACCTAAAGTAGTAGAATTCTTAGAAACAAAAAGTGGAATGGTGGTTGCCAGGGGCTAGCAGGGTGAAAAGGGGAATTGTCCAGGAATATAGAGTTTTAGTTTTACAAATGAAAATGTTTGGCTATCTGTTGCACAAAGTGTGTATATAGTTAATAATACTATACTATACTGTTAAAATAGTTAAGATGGTAAATATTATTTTTTACCACAATAAAAAATTACCTCAAAATTACCTTAAGATCAAAGAGCCAAGTGTAAGGGATAAAACTATAAAACTTTTAGAAGAAAACATAGGGGGAAATCTCCATGACCTTGGATTTGGTAGTGATTTCTTAGAAATGACATTAAAAGCACAGCCTACAAAAGGAAAAAACTTGTATGTAAATTAGACTTAAATATTAAAAGATCTATACATCAAAAGGCACTATCAACAGAGCAAAGGCAACTCACAGAATGGGAGAAAGTATTTGCAAATCATACATCTGATAAGGGATTCATATTCAGTGTGTATAAGTTACTCCTACAACTCAACATCAACATCAAAAACAACCTGGGGGTACCTGGGTGGCTCAGTCAGTTAAGCATCTGAATCTTGATTTGGGCTCAGGTCATGATCTCACATAGTTCCTGAGATCAAGCCCCACATCTGGCTCCACACTGCTCTGTCTCCCTCTCTCTGCCCCTCCCCAGGATGTGCAAGCACGCACTTGCACACACACTCTCTCACTCTCTCTTTCTCAAATAATAAATAAATAAACTGTAAAAAAAAAATACAGTTTAAAACTGTAAAAATTCAGTTTTAAAGTGATTAAAAAGGGAGGGGGACCAAGAATACGGACACCTATTTCTTCGAAGATATGCAAATGGCCAATAAACATATGAAAAGATGTCCAACATTGGTAATCATTAGGGAACTGCAAATCAAAAGCACCAAGAGATACCACTTCATGTCCATGAGACTGGCTATCATTAAAACACACGCAGATGCACACACTCACACACACACACACACACACACACAGACACACACACACAAGAAACAAAAAACAGAAAAGTCAAAGAGTTGGCAGGAATGCATAGAAATTGGACCCCTTGTGTGTTATTGCTGGTGAATAAGTAGATAGTGTGGTGTGTGCTACTTCGAAAAACTGTATGGTAGAGTCTCAAAAAAAGTAAACATACAATACCGTACAATCCAGCATTTCTACTGTGGAGACAAAGCAAAATAACTGAAAGCAAGGTATTGATCACAGAAGACATTTGTCTACTTATACATTCATAACAACATTATGCATGATATTTGGAATATGCAAACAGCTACGTGTTCTTTTGTGGATGAATGTAAAAACAAAATGTGGTATATACAGAGAATGGAATCTTAGCCTTAAAAAAAAATATTCTGAGACCTGCTGCACCATGGATGAACCTTGAAGACATTATAGTCAGTGAAATAAACCAGTCACAAGAGACAAGTGTTCTGTATGTTTACTTTTATGAGCTATCCAGAATAGTCAAGTTCATACACCAAGTAGAATGGTGGTTTCCAGGAGTTAACGAAAGGAGAAAATGGGGAATTATTGTTCAATGGGTAAGGAATTTCAGTTGGGGAAGATGAAAAAAATTCTGGAGTGGACAGTGGTGATAGTTGTACAAAAGTATGAAAGTACATAATGCCACCGAACTATGCACTTAAAAGTGATTGAAATCACAAATTTTATATTACAAATATCAGACCACAATTAAAAACAAAACTCAGTTGGGTGGCAAGAAGGTTTGTAACATATTCATATCAGAAACTAAGTTACCACGTGGGAGAGGCAGCATATGCAACCCAGACTTAACTTCAACTACCAAAAAAGTACAATCATCTGAAGGAAACTAAAGATAAAATACACTTTATTCCAGAGGATAAAATAATTAAGTGTATTAAAAAATAGTATAAACTACCATGGAAAAACAAAATGATGAGAAGAAAAGAAGAATCCGAAATGACAAAAGGAGAAAATCAATTTTTAAAGAAAAAATATGATAATTAAAATCAAACTTCAATGGATTAATTAGTATATGAAACATACAATTTCGCAAGTAACAAGGAAATGGGAATATGTAAAAACACATAGTGAAAATGGATAATAGAAAAAAAGTTACAACTTAATTCAAACTTTGCAATAAAACTTAAAAAGAAAAAAACATTTTTAAACTATACTTATAAACATTTCAAGAGAAATTTGCTAATGCATTTTCAGAATTTAAGTATGGTATGATTCCCCAGATTAATAACTGTATGGATCCCTAGGGACCCAGTGATTTCTGAGAATTATTAATGGAAATCAATTCAAAACCATATGATGAAACATCAACAGTAAGGACAACCAAAATATGACAGTCAAAGTGAGAGGTGACTTTTCAGCAGCAAATTCATAGGTGGAGTAAAAAAGAAAAAAATTCAGCTTTATTTTATATACAGTGCATTCCTAAACATGACATAACATAGTTGAAAATAAAGAAATAGAAATATATGCCATGATAATAACAAAATATATGAGTATCAATCTAAAAATTAGAAAAAAAATGTCTCTAACAAACCAAAACAAAAATATTGGGATGAGCTGGTAAGACTGATGGAGAGAACCTAAAGCTGAAGCCCTATCTCTCAAAAATTATATCTTCAAAATACATGAATCCAAAATTTAGCATACTTTTCAGGAGAAATTTGAACAGAACTCTCTCAGAAACAAATTGAACCCAACATAAAACCACACACACACAAAAATGAAACAAAAAAACCTAGTTCAAGATTGGTGTTAAATTTTAGTCATTAAAAAAAATATCTTCACTATTCTCAGAATTTACCAAATAATTCAGGACAGTTACGTAATTGATGCGTCCTTATAATCAAAAATCATCTTAACTTTCCTTCTATTAAAAAAAATATTGAGTTTCTTAAAATATTAAGGTTGTCAAAGTATGCATCTAAAGCACAGAGAGAAAAGCAACACATCAAAACAAAAGAACGTTCATATTTTTTTTTCCAGTAAGGAAAAATATGGCAAAGAGTTTTGGCAGATTAAAGATGATTTTAAATATAAAAATCATTTTATGCTTTACTCTTTGAAAACCCAGTTTATTATGAAATCAACAACTTCATAAACACATTCTTTTCTGAGGTTGATCTGCCCTAGAATGAGACACTGATACTGAACTTTAACGCAAGTAATTTCTTTGAGAGGTGATACTGGGATCTGCCTTGGGAGGAGTGAGCGAGACCAAGATTTATTGGAAAGAAGTATCAGTGCTCTGGGCTATTGGAGTTCAATCCCAGTGGGGACCCCTGGGACAAAGTGGAAATCCTACCTCGGAGATGTCTTCTGAAAAGCATGACAACCCTTTCATTTTTGGTCAAGTGTTGTTACTGGACTGGCAAATTCTAGCATTTAGGACCAGCTTGGGGTAAAGATAAAGCATGTTTTGGCCAGAGAAAACATTAAGCAAAGAGTTTTAGGTGCTCATAATCAGAAGCTGTGGTGTATGAAAGACCTATGAGTGCTGGCAGAAGAAGCCAGGGCGCTGACAGTATCTTCAACAGTTGTATCTTTTCCCAAAACTCGCATTTTTTTTAATATTTAGATGAATAATATTACACGCCACAAAGCATCCACAATTTGTTCAGAGTCAATACAATGACTTCAAAATAGTTAAACACACTGGCATTTTCTAATTCACTTGGAATTGACTAGCTTGTTACTACCGTCATTTATGTGTATATGCATTATTATTCATTCTTGTGTAAGACAATAAATATTAAACTATAGAAACAAAATTTTCCAGTATGGTATAACCTTGGATTGCGAGTAACTTGTTCCGTGAGTGTTCTGCAAGACTAGCAAACATTTCTTGTAAATTTTAACTTCATAAACAAGTGATGTCTTGCAGTACGAATGGTACGTGACACTAAATGTCACATCATCACAACCCAGCTGATGGTTCTTGAAATTCACTTTGATATACAAGCGCTTTGGATTACAAGCTTCTCTCCAGAACGAATTATGCCCACAAGCCAAGGTTTTATTATAATTATTTACACTCGTGATTTTCAGCATAAATGGGCAAATGAAGTAATAAAAATGCATTTTTGGTATTTGTTGCTTTAGATATATTATCTGGCATGAACAGTTTGTTTCCCTATATTCCAAGGCTTTGGTCATTATCCCCACCTCAACTACTTTCCTCTCTATGTAATTTTGAAAAGGCTTTATTTCTTCATTAAAAAAAAAATTCTGTAGTTACAGATATGGAAGCATAAAAGGTAAAATACACATTTAAATATTATCTATAATATATTCTATCTCATGACAGTTATTGGGCATTTGTAAATGTTTACTTGAACAAAATAAACAAGTTTCAGTGAACACGTTTATTTCAGGTTGATTTTATGTTCTAAAAAGATATGTGTATTGGTTCAATAAATTAAAATCAATATAATCACATTTTAGTTTTAAAAAGCTACTTATTGGTGATGAGTATGTATTGCTTTTATTTATTTGGGCATGTATTGCTTTTATATGTGTAACTATAAAAGATATTATATAAATATTTTAGGATAAGCAAAGAAAAAGCTTGAAGAAAGCAAATCCAATATATATTGCTTATATAGCAGTTTTAAACTGATATGCCATCATAAAACATGCCAGAACCACACATTTCTAAATTTCATGAAACATCCTTGTGAATTCCTTATAATTATAAACTTTTATTTTGATGATTTCTTTCTGGATTAATGTTTCAACCTCCCGGCAGGGGGAAAAAATCTAAGTTTGTCTTTTGACTCTTTGTAATAGTCTGCTAAATGTAGTGAGGAAAAAATAATTTAAATTTCAAATTCATTTTAATTTCATTACTAAATACCCTTTAGGGAAAACATTTTTTCCTCTGTCAAGATAATTAATAATTTTAAAGGGTGTTTTCAATATGCATTTGCCTGTAAGAAAATATATAATACCAAGGCTTGGGAAAACAAAAATTATATATTTCTAGATATGCTATGCTCCATGTATCTACTGGGAGTGTGACTACATTAATATACAAAATTAAACATAAAAGAAACATACTCTTTCTGCAAAGTCAGTCTCTGAGATAATAGCCTATTAATATCAAAACTAAATAAAATATTTTGCTTCTATTTGCTTATCCAGGTTCTCATTTGTTTCTCAGAACTGTAGCAAGATAATTTCTGACACAAATGTTTTGCTTTGTGAGCCCTTTCTCTCATATCTCTTCTCATATCAAAATTCCGAAAATATATATTAAGTGACTGTTTTCTGGGATGAATTACTTTTTACCTCTGTTGGAAAACATTAAGTTTTTGTGGGAGGAAGGGAATAAACCAGTGCTAAATAAAATGCATGTTGAGTAAACTCAAGCACTGAGCATGTTATTATTATTTTTTTTTTACAACCAAGAGCACAAGGTGAGTGGCAATTTTTTTTATTGTTTGTTTTTACTTAATTGTGAAAGTTTTGTTCTCGAGTGATTAAAAGATTCATAGTTGTTACAAGGTGGTTGAATATATGATGGACGATGGGTAGAATGTGGCCAGCAGAGGCTTTGGTCCCAAACCAGCCAACAGGACTAATCCATCTGATAAAACAGAATGATTTAATCATGAAATATGATTTAGTGTTAGGTAGAAAGTAACCTTTTAATGAAAATATAAGGCCAATATCAGAATAAGACTGAGTTACCATGTGTAAAACTTTATAGATTATATTTAAAAAATGTGTTGAGAATCAATGTGGCATAATGAAGGGGGGGAAGGTTATCATGTTAGATCTAACTGGATTTGAACCTTGATTTTGCCATTGAAGAGGTGATTGAATTTACCTGAAATATTTAAATACCCTGCAATTCCTCTTCCTATATAAAATGTGTATACTAAGCAATCTTCAATTATGTTCTAACAATTAAGATAAAAAATGCAAAGTTCAAATAAGTGAGCTCATCCATAGAAAGTGTTCCTTACCATTATTGCCTTCCTAATGTATATTTTAATAATAGTATATTGTAAATATAGTATTTCCCTTTTGCCTGTAAGAATACTTTGCAGGACCCCCAGTGGATGCCTGAAGTCACAGATAGTACTGAACCCTGTATATACTATGTCTTTCTTATGCATATATACCTATGATAAAGTTTAATTTATAAGTCAGGCACAGTAAAAGATTAACAATAAGTCATAATAAAATAGGACAATTAAAAGAATATACTGTGATAAATGATGTGAATGTGGTCTCTCCCCCTCTCAGGATAATCTTCTTGCACTGTACTCACTGTTCTTATGTAAAATGAGAGGAAAATGCCTATGTGATCAGATGAAATGAAGTGAAGGTCGTAGGTGTTGAAGCTATTGTTGGACTTCTGATGATATGTCAGAAGGATCATATACTTCTAGACTGCAGCTGGCTGTGGCTAAAAGAAACCTGAGAAAGTGAAATCATGGAAAGGAAGGGGGACCTCAGTTACCTTGTTATACTAGGAAACTCTCCTTCGATATGTAGATACCAATGTGTGTCTACTGATAACCTTTAGGCTTTAGGCATGTAGTCCGTGACTAAAAGGTAGATGTAAGAAAAAATAACATGAGCATTATGGATGTACTTATAAAATTAAAGTTCTCTGAAGCCAAACTTTATAGTCCATTTGTTTTGATGCCTGTCAAAAGCCAATTGCAAAATGTCTGCAAGTTCAAGGTCCAACTACATATTTAGGTTCGATGCCCTTTGTACGTAAATGTTATGCTTTAATAACTGATAAGTTTTCTAAGTTTCTATTAGTTACACTAATACTGGGCACTGTTATATTGGCTTGGTTAAAGTGGCTCAGAAATTCTTGCCACCAAGTGAAACCTCCTGTTGGTTTGTTTTTAGAAAACTATTTAGGAAAGTAGATTGCTACAATGACATAAAGCAGCAGAAATGGTTTTATGCTTTGTTGTAGTTTCATTGAATTCTATAACCTCGGGCAGGGCTTTAGTGGGAATACTACAGCAGATCCTGAAGTTGGAGCCTGTTGTCTGAGGCTCTCAGCTAACTGTACTTGTCACAGCTGAAAGTCAAATGAAATCTGAACAGTGTATCTCCACTGTTGGCACAGGATTATCCCAAGCAGTGAGTTATGAGAGTGGTGGATAATTGTCGGATAAAACACTTCAAATAATTAGTAATCTTCGTACCTTAAGATAGGAATAAACAAAGCCACCTCTTTGAGCATAATTATATTGCATTAACACACACTAATTAAATCTTATAATGATATTTGAATAGTCCCCAAATTTAAATGTATATCCCCCATAGCCCATTAGTTAATATGAACTCCCTTTTTGGAAAGTATTTTACCACATTCCCGCCTGACACTAATATCAAGGGTCATTAAGCAGTTGATAAAAATGTAAAGAATGAGTTCATGACAGAAAAATATGGCCGAAAGTCTTGTTTAAATCATATTCTAAATAGGCTGTACTATTTAAAAGACAAATACTGTTTATGAAAACATTTTCCCTTTCATATTTAGGTTTCCCAGTGCCAGGAGATTATTTGCTACTTTGGAGAAAATTAGTGAATGTTTGTTGAAATACTGATTTACTAATTTGTTTTTGTAAGTCAGTATCAAAAGTCATTAATTTATAGACTATTCCAGATGTAAATGACATATATGAGTAAAACCAGTTTTCCCATAGAGCACAGGATCACTGGAATAAACGGCATTTGGGTTTGCCAGTGCATGGGTCAACATTTTATTAAAATATGTGACACATTATTTTGCAATTTATCTGTCCACCTCCTAGTTGTTCCATCTCCTCTTATGGTTACTGTTATTGGGAACATCTTTTAGTGTTTACACATGGCAATTAATACTTGTTGAACAGGGGCGCCTGGGTGGCGCAGTCGGTTAAGCGTCCGACTTCAGCCAGGTCACGATCTCGCGGTCCGTGAGTTCGAGCCCCGCGTCGGGCTCTGGGCTGATGGCTCGGAGCCTGGAGCCTGTTTCCGATTCTGTGTCTCCCTCTCTCTCTGCCCCTCCCCCGTTCATGCTCTGTCTCTCTCTGTCCCAAAAATAAATAAATGTTGAAAAAAAAAAAATACTTGTTGAACAGAGAAACGCTGATGGGTAGAGTAAAACACAAGAATGTGCAAAGGGAAGGCTTACTCTTCTTTGGGCAAAGAGCTCACATGGATTACTGTAACATTTCTTCATCTGAAAGGAACACGTACCAAATGGTTTTCACTCTGTATTTGTTGAATACTCAGAATTGAAACATAGCGTTGGAGAAAATATCAGAGTAAAAATTCAGAATGAAATGTTACGGATTCAATAATTTTCAAGAATAATTTTGAAGGCTTTTCTAATCAGGGCATTAAAGTTCTGAGTATTTCATGAGTACTAATTTTAATATCTGTTTTCTGCAACAGCGAGTTTTTTCAGGAAGACCTCTGCTATTTTATTTTCCTAGAAAAGAACTGGAAACAGTTAAGAGAAACATAAATCCCCAATACTTGATGCAGTGTTTTGAGACTCCTCATTTACTATTCTAGTGACCTCTGGCTAAACAGCATATTCCACCAGTGAGTTGAATAAATGGCATATTTCTTGCTTTCAGGATTTTATAATCTGTGTAGTAATTTACATTATTGTACTCACTAATTATCTCAGGCATAAGCTCAGGCAGTAAGCTTGTGCCTCAGGTATATTCTCTACCAGAAACTCTGTTGTACAGAAGAAGTATTTTCCTCCATCTATAAAGCCCCTTTAAGTAATCGCTACTGCAGAAGAAACCAGTCTGATTTGCACTGATTTTCAGTAATATTTCCGGCAGGCATGCGAGATCCTAAATGCAGTTTCTCGCATCTAAAAATATGAGTTTATAGACACTAGTTTATTGATAATTTCTGCTACTGGGGAGATATTATTGACTCATATTGGACATTCTTTTGTAGCCCTGTCCCATTGAGGAAATCTGGACTAAGTGAAAATACACAATGGGACTTCCTTGATACACAATTTCCATTTTAAAGATGTTGAAATTGAAGCATACCTGGATGTTAAGTGTGGTAGATAAAATTAGATGTAGAATAAATATTACAAATTACAATTGAGCTCCACAAGAGTTTAAAAATCAAACAGCAATAAAACACGTATAGCTAGTTAAGTGAACTGCTTAAGTTCATACATGAGAAAAGAATTTATACAATGGGGAAAAGATGTCTTCAACAAATGGTTCTGGGAACACTGGACAGCTACATGCAAAAGAATGAACCCAGACCACTTTTTACACCATAACAAAAATAAACTCAAAATTAATTAAATACCTACATGTGAAACCTAAAACAGTAAAACTCCTGAAATAAAACATAGGCATTTCCTTGACATCGGCAATAAAAATATTTTTTAAATACATCTTCTCAGGCAAGAGAAATAAAAGAAAAATTAAAGTACTGGAACTACACCAAAGCAAAAAACTTATGCACAGGAAAGAAGACCATCAAGAAAACAAAAAAGCAACTGATTGAATGGGAGAATATATTTGCAAATGATATAACTAATAATTTAATATCCAAATATATAAAGAAGTTATGCAAGTCAACACCAAAACCAAATAATCTGATTAAAAAAGGGCAGAGGACCCAAATAGATTTTTTTTTCCTGAGAAGACATACAGATGGCCGACATAACACCTGAAAACATGCTCAATATCACTAGTCATCAGGGAAATACAAATCAAAACCACAATGAGATATCACCACACCTGTCAGAATGGCTAAAATCAAAAGTAAAAGAAATAACATATGTTGGTAAAGATGTGGAGAAGTAAATTTCATGTATTCTTGGTGGAGATTCCTCAAAAAATTAAAAATATAATTGCCATAGAATCCAGTAATCTCACTACTGGCTATTAACCAGTGTCATGCACGCGCGCGCGCGCACACACACACTAATTCAAAAAGATATATGCAGCCCTATGTTTATTGAAGCATTATGGAAACAACCTAAGTGTCCATGGCTGGATTAATGGATAAAGATATATCCACACACGATGAAATAATACTCAGCCATACACAAGGGAAATCTCGCCATTTGTGGCAATGTGGTTAGATCATGAGAGTATCACCTAAGTGAAATAATTAGGACAGAGAAATATAAATATCTGTGATTTCACTTATGTGTGGAATATAAAAAAGACAAACAAACGAAACAAAACTTATAGATCTAGAGAACAGGTCAGTGGTTATCAGAAGGGAAGGGTTTTGAGGGCTGTGAAAAAGGTAAAGGGGTCAATTATATGGTGCCAAATGGTAATGACTTATTGTGGTGACACTTTGCATATAATGTATGCAAATATCAAATTATTGTGTTGTGCCCTTGAAACTAATATAAAGTTATATGTTAATTTTGCCTTGAAAAGGAAATAAATAAAAGAGTTTAAAAGTTCTTTGTTTTCTTTTGCTGCTATTAGAAATTACCATGCAACTCAGGGGTGCCTGGGTGGCTCAGTCGGTTGAGCGACCGACTCCAGCTCAGGTCATGATCTCACAGTTCATGCGTTCAAGTCCCACGTCGGGCTCTGTGCTATCAGCACAGAGCCTGGAGCCTGCTTCAGATTCTGTGTCTCCTTCCCTCTCTGCCCCTCCCCTGCTCATGCTCTGTCTCTCTTTGTCTCAAAAATAAATAAAAACATTAAAAAAATAAATTAGAAATTACCATGCAACGCAAATGTGCTCTCTTACACTTCTGGAGTTCAGAAATCTTAAAGCAGTTTCACTGGGCTAATGCAAAGCTGTACTTGGATGTGAAAAATTTATATGGTGTAGGTCTAAAAGTATATTCAATTATTTTCTGCCACCTTGATTCTGGCTCTTCCTGTTATACTTCAAACTGTACTATTACTGGCAAAAAGTGTCAATAATGCAATGTCTGTTGCTTTCTCTAAGGACTATTTCTGAGACAGTCCTCAATGGAAATATTTTATCTTTATCTTTTTCAGTTGCTTCTAATTAAATCTTAGTGCTCATCCTTTTTCAGTTGAACATTTAACAACGATCTGAAATATTTACAAAGTCTGCCCTTTGAGGGGCACATAGATTGGTGTGTTTTATAGATAATATTCTAATTATTGCATGTTTGTGAGAGTTCCTTTGGTGTTAAAAGCAAATAAATATATAAAGGGGCATGTATGGATTACTTTTTTTTTAATTTTGTTAATGTTTATTTTTGAGAGAGAGAGAGACAGAGCACAAGTGGGGGAGGGGCAGAGATAGAAGGAGACACAGAATCCGAAGCAGGCTCCAGGTTCTGTGCTGATAGCACAGAGCCCGACGTGGGACTTGAACGCATGAACTGTGAGATCATGACCTGAGCCAAAGTCAGACGCTTAACCCACTGAGCCACCCAGGCGCCCCTGGACTACTTCTATTAGCATGTTAAAAAACAAAGATTAAGATCAATTTAGATTTGTCTACCAACGTCCATAAGACATGACAAGGCGTATACTTTCCTTTTTACCTATTTTCCATGATATTGAGAATAGTAGCTAGAGTTGCAGCTAAAATCATTAATATTGAAGCTGCAGGATCCTTGCTTAAGCTGCACTGTTTTATTTATGAAACAGATGATTGTTTCAAAAATCCTGTTTCAGAAGAGTAGTCTAACCCTGTTTACAGTGACTACCACTCTGACTAGATAATTATAATTTATATTATAATTAAAATGTTCGGATTGGTTTTATTCTCTGCTAGATTGTAATGAAGCTTTACGGGTAGCTATAATTAACCTCCACTGATATTAATTATGCACATTTAGGGATCCTGAATTTGCTGATCATGCAGTTCTCTTAAAGATGCCTGGGGCAGCATGGAGTAAAGAGTATACACAGCAGGTTTGCAGCCATGGTATATGCGGTGAGCGAACGTGGATGGTTGCTGGAAGTGGCATGCGGAGGTTATTCAGTTCATGTTCATCTTAAATTATTTCATTTTCCCCGTTAGGTACATGAAAGCCATATGTGGTGTCACACAATTTTCTCCAAACGCGCTCAGGCTGCCAGTGGTTCAGGCTATCCAGCCACCTGTAAAAGGTGGACGACACTGTTCAATTTTCTATCAGCGATACTTACATCTTCTCCAAGGTTAGCCAAAGGGATCCTGCAAAATTCTGTTCCAGAACATAATGGGGACTAAATCTTTATACAGTGTCGTTACGTTTAAAATATCAGGGCAAATGACATCCACTGCTCATATCTCGTCCGTTGCTCCCTTTGTTACATCCACTCCTCAAGTGCTTTCTCTCTATGGTTCTAATAAAGTATCTAATTTTGTGTTTACTAACGTCGAGAACAGAACCACAATAGGAAGCATGGATGTACCATTCAGCAGAACTACCACTTAAAATACAGGAGTATTATGTTTTAGAATTGGCATAAGAACGTAGATTACCCACTTTCTTTGGAACAAGGACACTTAAAAGTCTTTGGCTTGCCCTCTGCCCTCCCTCTTCTAACATTTATTTCACTCCGCTCATTTAGTCACCATAAATGGGGTATAAACCACCACCTTCAGAAGTGGCACAGAGACCAGAAAACAGCTATGGGAGGTATGAGTATACAAACATAACTGTGAAAAATTCAATTTCTTTTAAAGCACTCTCAACCTTAATCCCAACCATCTCAGCACAATTTGAAATCTCATGGTTTTCAAAATTAGCAACTCCAATAGCCAGAGGGCATTAATTCGTGCCAGATAATGGGTATTTTCCTATTGTTATGGGTCAAAAACTCACATTTATTTCCCTGCTTCTTCCAGTTGGCAATATGGTATTCTTTCTACATTTCAGGGCCTGCGTTTGTTTTCTTTCCTCAGGCTTTCTCAGTAGCTTAAAATCATTAATACTGAAGCCACATGATCCTTACTTAAGCTGCATCGTTTTATTTATGAAATAGATCATTGCTTCAAAAATCCTATTTCAGAATCCTAGTCCAACCTTCTTTACGGTGACAACTAATCTGACTAGATTATTGGCTAGATTAGGTTACTGACTAGATTACCTACTAACAGGCAGGTCTGAAACTATACAGGATTTTAGGTATTACACTGTTAATATGATAGCCCGCTGCAGTTTTACACACACATACACAATGCACACACACACACACACACACGCACACACACACACACACACACACTCTCATGCAGGTATACCCCACTTTTCAAAAGTGCACATTAGAACACATGTTTTTATGAAAGATCTACATTCATATGTGTTTTTGCTAACTAAAAAAAAAAAGCAAAAAGGATTTTTTTCACTTTTACAGGAAAGGGGTAAAAAGCAAAAATAGCATTCAGCATTTGTTTTGCCACAAACCATTATAGAGTCAGTACTCACTGCTAGCAGTGACAGTGCCCCTGCCCCCTCTCCCCCGCCTCCCCCCAGCCAAGCTCCTTTTGCAGGAATGACACGCAGCATCTCAGTATCCCAAGCCACCATAACGTTTCAACTGTGTGTGTGAACATCAACTTTATCTCATTTATTTTGTGCATCCTTAGCAAGATGCGCCCTACGTTTTCAGAAAAGCCTAAAAGAAGTTGTTTTGGGGGTCTGGAAATGTTTGAAAAACAAATTTATATGAATGAATGATAATTGTTTCTTCACTTAACCTATTTCAGCTTCCAGAAGTTTTCATAGGCGAGCTCTACTCTCAGAAAGGACAATCCTGTATATACATATGTATACACACATATATATGCATCTACGCAATATACATATATATGTATACATATATGTGCATATAAACATATATGTATTAATATATGATATGTATTTATATATGTACACAAATACAGAGTACATGTATGTCTATCTCTATAATAATCTGTGTATTATCATTCATACCAACATCTATCTATGTATATGAACAGAAACGCTGTATTTCTGGATCAGAAAACAGACTTTTTATTTATTCACAGAGCAATCTGAGCAGCTCTGATTCCCCGTACCCCAACCCCCCACAGGGCAATGCAATGAGAGCAGAATGTCACTACATGCAGTGGTTGCACCAGAGCAGATGGAATTATGAAACCTGGAGCTTGTGTAGGGCAGCTGGTACATCTGACCACTCTCCCTCTGCAGATAGAAGAAAAAAGACCTTTGTTCTGGAATACAGACAAATCTTCTCTGCGGATTGATGGGGGCACTAGAGAGAGGATCTCTAGATCTCTTTCTCTAGTCTGAAATGTAAAGAAATGATTCAGAATTTATTGTACTTAGAAGCTAAGCAAATGGATCCAGCAGAAAGGCTATTTTACATTCCCTTGGAGCAGTACAACGTCTAACCTCGAAGTCATGTTTACCATCTAATCCTCTTTAAATCCAATACCAGTGTTATTTGTTCTGAAAGCTCTGACCGGGTGGACATATAAAATTATTCATGGAGCATTGTTTCCAAACACCAACATAGAGTGCTTCCATAGATATTTAGTAATCATGGGATCTAAAGTCCAAGAGATCACTCCCTTCTTCCTAACTAGTGCTCCTAAATTTATAGCATTCTCTTTCCTCCTGTCATCCTGGATACCTAGGATAATTTTTTTCAGTAATGTTAAATATTTTTAACCCATGGTTCTTATTACTAAAGAACAATATTTGTGCATTACACAGCCTGCACAAGTTCTGATATGGAGATCCTTAAATGCTGGTCAAGGTGTTTAAAACCTATTCTCTCATTAAGGGAGACCATCAATATTTTTCAGCAGGAGTCTGTCCATAGTGTTATGATGATTATTTCAGTAGTATTTAGTTTGAAATATAAATGTGGAGAAACGGGAGACCGGGAAAATACATTAGAAAATCTCTACAGCAATCCAGGTATAAGATGATGTATTCATGAACAAGAGCAGCAATGAAAGTAATGACAAGGAGGCATTTATTTTTTTTTTAAACATTTTTTTTTCCAACGTTTATTTATTTTGGGGACAGAGAGAGACAGAGCATGAACGGGGGAGGGGCAGAGAGAGAGGGAGACACAGAATCAGAAACAGGCTCCAGGCTCCGAGCCATCAGCCCAGAGCCTGACGCGGGGCTCGAACTCACGGAACGCGAGATCGTGACCTGGCTGAAGTCGGACGCTTAACCAACTGCGCCACCCAGGCGCCCCACAAGGAGGCATTTAAAGTAGGAGACATTCAAAGGAAAGAACTGATACCTGAATTTGGAAGTATGGGTAGAGTGAAAATTCAAAATCACCACACATAAGTGGTCAGGAAAATGAAAATGTCTTTGGTTATAATTAGAGACAAAAGAGAATGTTAGATCTGGTGGGAATAGAGAGCTTTTATAAATTTTATGTTTGAAATGCTAGATTAGCCAAGTAGAAAGGCTTAATAGTCCAGAGTGTCACTACCAGAATACTGGGCTCTATTGATCATGGGTATGGCAAATACAATTATATTTATGTTATTTCCATTAGAACAGCTAGTTTACCCCTGGTCTTATCCACTTAATGAAGCTATTGTTTCTGGTGGAAACTTAGTCTCATGGACAAGCATGACGTGCTCTTTTTATGAAGTCTACACATTTCTAGCCGTGTCATTATTTTCAGGAACATTAACTGTCACAGGTGATATCAAAACCTTAGAACATTTTGTCCTCTGAAATCTTCGTAATATGTTGTGAGTGGATATCTCTTTCTGTTTAGAAACTAAGCTGCACACAATTCCATTTCACTTCATTAGGGATATTACATTATGGGTGTTTCCTACCTCTGTGACTTTGTTGTGTATTCAAGTGAAGGTGAATCAACAGAATTGTACTTCTAATGATTTCTCTTTTGCTGTGCAATATTAATGTATTTTATGAATGAATAGAAAATGTGCTTCTAATATTCATTAACAACCAATTGTTCTTTTTAAGTACTATTCCCAAAGATGTTTTCAGTAATCATTCTCTGTTTTTTTGTTTTCTGTAACACATGGGTTACAACATGATGACAACAAAGATCTTGCTAGATTTTACCTCCTTTTGATACTATTTCATGTGAATTATCAGCACTAGAACTTTTAAAAAGTTTTCAAATGATCTAAACTGATATGACTAATAAGTGGTTATAATTCAAGAACAAAAATACACAAAACTAATTATCTAATTAGATAGTATCTGATTTGTTTTGCAAAAATTAAAGCAATTTACTTAGGTCAATACATCAGCCTATCATTAGAACTCTCCTGGTACGTTAAGGTAAGCTGTGGTGCATATCTGGGTGTTATGTCTATAGCTTTACTCAGGAACACAGCCCTTAATTTCTTGTCTAGCTGCTCTATTTTACTGAATAAACAAATGTAACAAAGGTGAACACATAAGTGATATGTAGTGAATTTAATTTTTCAAAGAGAGTAATGCAACGGCTAAGCAGATAAAATAAACAAATTACCATATTTTCAAACTACAGACCACTTATCCAAGATAAAATTCATGTTACACATGACTTAACCTGGGCACGCACATATTCTGCCATAAGTGGAAGGGGTGAACACAATAACTCCATGTATCCAGGTAAAATCACTCATATACCTCTGTCTTAATGATCTACTTTTGTGGCTTTTTTTGGTAGATTTAAATACGCAGTTGGGAAAAAAAAATTCTCTCAGGATAACGCCCATTTAGTATGGCTTGTATTGAGATGAAAATATGCAACCATAAACTTCCATGGCTCAGATTTTGATAGATGCTAGTTTAAAGGAAAGGCATTTTATTTATTTTTTTTAATTTTTTTTTCAACGTTTATTTATTTTTTGGGACAGAGAGAGACAGAGCATGAACGGGGGAGGGGCAGAGAGAGAGGGAGACACAGAATCGGAAACAAGCTCCAGGCTCCGAGCCATCAGCCCAGAGCCCGACGCGGGGCTCGAACTCACGGACCGTGAGATCGTGACTTGGCTGAAGTCGGATGCTTAACCGACTGCGCCACCCAGGCGCCCCATAAAGGAAAAGCATTTTAAAGGACATAGTCTTGATGTTGGAAATCGGCAAAGAGAACTGTGTCATAATGATGTATAAACTCATAGTAGAATTAGTGCACGATCAGACCAACCTATATCCTTGAGATACAAAAAGTGCTTGATTAAATCAAGGTATATTTTTAAGGAATCTTTTACCATATATTTCAATCGTGTGCTCTTTCTCTACAAATGATAAGCTGAATAAGCTAGGAGAGAATTAAATATCAATATACAAGTAGGAATACTTCCCACTTTTGAAGTGGTTTATTTGGGGAAATGACTTTAGGGGACTAATATGAAGAATGCCAGGGAAGCAACCTCATGATAAGTCATTTGTTTTTCTGTGATCTTCCTTATTGTTTATCTTGTTAAGAAACTTGTTGAGCGATTCTGCTGGATCTTCTGGCACCTGACAGAAGCATCATCAGTCACTGCACAAGCTTCGGCCTACAAACTCTTTTACGGGATTCAGGAGGGACATGGATTTAAATTTTAAACTGGTTTCTGTCAGCGTGACAAATGAGCACCAGAAAATTGTAGGACATGGTAGAATGTTGAAATGCATGCCAGAAGTAAGGGGCCAATCTTCAAGTGGAATCGACAAAAATAGCCTTAAAGCATCTCCAGGTTATATCATTACTATCATTCTATGTCTAAGGCATAAGGACAGCCTATTCCTGAAGCTTTCAACTCCGCATTATTTACAGAGGTAACGTAATTTACCACCCAGAGTAATTAAACCCTTTAGAACGAAAAACTCTGTTCACAAAGCATTAAATCCTTAGCATCATCAATTATTTGCCTCATCAAATATTTGCCTCCACCTGAATGTTGAGAGTTTGGTAAAAACAGATTCTAATTTTTTTTAATGTTTATTTATTTTTGAGAGAGAGAGAGAGAGAGAGAGAGTATGAGCAGGGGAGAGGCAGAGAGAGAAAGAGACACAGAATCTGAGGCAGGTTCCATGCTCCAAGCTATCAGCACAGAGCCCAATGCAGGACTCGAACCCACAAACCATGAGATCATGACCTAAGCTGAAGTTGGACACTTAACCGACTGAGCCACCCAGGCATCCCTCTAATTGCTTTAAGTAAAGAAAAAATGTATGCCATTTCACTTTAAAACGTTGTCATTTTTATGAATTGTTCATCATATGGTAAATTGCATTCATTTAAAATTATTAACATTAAGAGTTTAATTTTATAATGAGGTATCCTTTTCATTTTATAGATAATAAGGGATAAAATATAATGGAGACAAAAGTGTATTTGCTTTTATTAACGTTTTTAGCCATTAGAGTAATGAATACAGTAAATAAAAGTATGTATTTAAATTGTGATGGCACAATTTAATACTCTGCTGAAAATGCAAGGTTGTTTATATTCTTTTTCATTCTTTTTTAATATTTCTTTGTTTTTGAGAGAAAAAGAGACAGAGTGTGAGTGGAGGAGGGGCAGAGGAAGAGGGTGACCCAGACCAAAACAGGCTTCAGGCTCTGAGCTGTCAGCACAGAGCCCAATGCAGGGCCTGAACTCACGAAATGCGAGATCATGACCTGAGCTCCAGTCAGTTGCCCAACCAACTGAGCCACCCAGGCACCCCATGTTTTCTTGTTTATTATATAAAACTATATTTCTTATCTGAATGTTTCCTACCATAGAAAGTGTGCTTAATAAAAGAATACACTATCAACTATTTGATATCACATGCTGCTTTCATATATATAGATATATACATATATATGTATATATTCTATAAATATGACAACATAGTATAGTAAGTGTCAAGTTGCTAAAGTATTTTATCATTATATTGATATCATTGATATTCCTGAACATGCCAAAATGAAAACTACTATAAGAAGTAGTAAAGTAGATACTAATTTTAGCAATGTCACACATTTCTAGTTCGTTCAAATCTGTATGACCCACAGATCAACCTGATCCTCTGGGGGCTTGAGGGAACACCTCCCCTTTTTAATAATCATGGTAGCTTTAGAATATATTTATGTAGTAATGCTAAAATATCATAAGGGCTATAAATATATCACTAATCAATTTCATACAGAAATAATGATAATGGCAAATAGCCAAGGTGAACCTTATTCTAAGAATTGCACATGCTACAGAAGATTGTGTTAGCAGAGCTGTGAACTAAATACTGAACTAAATACATTTGAAATATGTTGTTTAAGTTTTCCTTAGAGGATGTGGACATACAAAAATGTGAAATATAAACACATGAAAGAATAAGGGAAAAGGTTTGGGCAATGAGCAAAGTCAAATATTATGGAAAGTGGAATATAAAAGAAAGGAAGGTAATATAGCATGACTGTAAAAATTTCACCAGATATATAGGCTCAAGTAAAACAAACAAATGAAGGTAATAAAGTGAAATGAAATGTGCTTTAATTTTCTTTCAACATCTCAGAGTTCTGAGCAGAATTACAGCACCTACCCTGTAAACTTGTTTAGCAAATATTCATTAAAATGAAATATAATGATGATGGTTGCCAAAAGTGAATAAAATTGCTCTTCTTTCTAACTGTTGTGGAGCTGATTATTTTGGAAGAGTCAGGACCTAAAGCCAAAATTTCTCTTGACAATCATACAGAAGCAAAATTGTCTTTGGCAATCCTAATCTAAAAACCAAGGTAGAAATCACTTAAACTCAAATTACCCTTCAAAGTTCTTTAGAAAGTTGCCATGTTGAAGACCTACACTCCTTTTTTTTCTCATATGCTTGGCTATAACTCACCAAAGTTTTTCTCTAGCATTTGAAAGAAATAACTCTTTTGTTTTGTAACAGCTGAAGCAGTTGACTTACACTGGGGGGCTCTATATTAAATTTAAAAGCTCCCTTAAATATCTAGAATCACATTCAGCATTAGGAGAGATCTATCTAATTCTGGGCCAGGGGGTTCTGAACCTAAGGGAACAGGTAAATCTAATTATTTCAAGCTCACTGTTGGGTATAAGTTCAGTAAGCAGATTGATAATAAGAATTGCCCAGTCTATTTAATCTGTTATTTTGTATCTTTGAAAAAATCCCACTTTGTTTTGTCTTTTTTTTTGTAAGTCCCAATATGGATGATCAAGAATATTAAATATAGTCAAGTTGAATACATATATAATGTAATTCTACCATATAAGTCTTATTGTATTTTGTCATTAGAATACCTTTTCTTTATTAAGCTTAGGAAAGTTATTTTATTGTTTTTATATTTACAGAAATATGGATATGTCTTTCCTCTCTAAATTGACCCTAATGATTGCTTTGAATAAGACTGAAAGTGAGTTGCTCATGTCTGTATCTGGTATTCTAATTAATCCCAACAAAATAAAGTGCTGGAAAAGATAAGGACTTTTTCAGGTGGATTATGGTTTTAGTTAGATGAGTAGAGATGTGTAAAAATAATTTCAGTCTCATTTGGGACAATGCAATTTACGTTATTTTCAAGATGCCAGGTGGATTTGTATGGACTGAGGCAAAATATTTCTTATACTAAAGCATTGATTATAATTCTTGCTCTTTTATGCAACAGAATTCTGTTGTCATTTACAACAGAATTTTCTACCTTCTTTGTACTACTAAGTATTAAAAATTTATCATTTACAAACCTAAGATATTTTATCTCATTTTATGCAAAATAAGATGTATAAGAGATATATATGTGAAATCTCACTACATTTAAGTTAAAGACTACAGAAAAAATGATGAATAGTAGAGAGACAAACGGCAGCTTTGAAACATTTTAAATGTTGGAACCAGTTTTCTCCAGCATTTCACAGATTACGATCTGATAATATTGAAGGGTTGGCTTAGGGACCATGACACAGGTCCTGCTTTGCTTTTTCTTCTAGTAAGACTCAAGCAATGCTGGTATGGAGGGGCTCTGGGGTCGTGTTGAGGAGCAAGGGCTTGGTACTGAAGAGATAAGTGGAGACTACTTGGAACAGAGGGTTCAGCATGAACTGAGCACTGGTGGGTGAGAAGAAGGAAAATATCAGAAGAGCTGGTGAGAAAGCATTCTGGTCGGAGGAACCAGGGCAGGAGAAGCTAGCCTCTGTGAAGAACACAAAAAGTTAGTTGATTAGAAAATCGCAACGAAGAGGGTAACGGAAAGAGAGGTTGAAAACATACGCAGAGTTTTGAAAGTTCTAGTCCTAGTAAGTAGTTTAGATTTCATTTTAAAGACTAATCTCGGTGCCTTGTGGCTCAGTAGGTTGAGGATCTGACTTCCCCTCAGGTCGTGACCTTGCAGTTCTTAAGTTCAAGCCCTGCATAGGGCTCTGGGCTGAGAGCTCAGAGCCTGGAGCCTGCTTCAGATTTCTGTGTCTCCCTCTCCTTCTGCTCCTCCCACCCACACTCTCTCTCTCTCTCTCTCTCTCTCTCAAAAATAAACAAACATAAAAAAATAAAAAAAAAAATAAAGACTAATTCACTGTGGAGTCTATTTATAAATTGAGGATAATGCTATTATATTGCATAAGGATGTTATGTTAATAGCTAATAATCACACGATATGATGCTTAAAAGTGCATTTATGGACACCTGGGTGGCTCAGCCGGTTGAGCTTTGGACTGTTGGTTTCAGCTCAGGTCATGATCTCACAGTTACGAGATTGAGTCCTGGCTCCAGCTGGGCACTCACATCATGTGGAACCTGCTTGGAATTCTCTCTCTCTCTCTCTCTCTCTCTCTCTGCCCTTCCCAGCTTAAGTTCCCTTTCTTTCTGTATCTCTCAAATCAACTTAAAAAAAAGTGTGTTTAGTATTAAAATTTCTTTTGATATAGATATTATTGTCATCCCCATTTTATGGATGAAGATATTGAGGCAGAGAAAATTAAATTATATAAGTCATACACTTTGGACATGCATGCACTTTTTTAAAAAAATTCTTTTTCCACGTTTTTTATTTATTTTTGGGACAGAGCGAGACAGAGTATGAACGGGGGAGGGGCAGAGAGAGAGGGAGACACAGAATCGGAAACAGGTTCCAGGCTCTGGGCCATCAGGCCCAGGGGGGGTGACAGACTCGAACCCCGCAGGACGTGAGATGACCAGCTGAAATCGGGGCAACAACCGACTGCGCCACCCAGGCGCCCCTGCATGCACTTCTTAAATGTCAGAATCAAAATGTGTAGTGAAGACGTCTACTTCTGGCAGTTGTGCTCTTAACTACAGATACACTAGACTCTGTTATCAAAACTAAATGAGATTATATATATGATGAAAGAATTTCACCATTCTCATCCTTTTTGTGTTCTCTGCTCTAAAATTAAGACTTTTCCTGTCAAGTCTTAAATATTTTGAACCCTTGACAATAATCTTTCATAGTCCTGTTTCAAAAACTATAAACTCTTGTTTCATTTTCTCAGCCTCTATTACCGCTAATTCCTCATAGCTGTACCCATGGTTACCTTCCCCCAATTTTAACATCTTACCCCTTTTCTCTCATTTTAACATAAATAAAATAAAATAAAATAAAATAAAATAAAATAAAATAAAATAAAATAAAATAAAATGTAACAAAAAATAAAATAAAATAGGAAATGTGAAATAACCTCAGCTTCCTAACTATTATGCTTAAAATTGTGTCTCTCACCTCCTATTGGGTGCCATTTCATAGTCTAAGGATGTTTAAATAATTCCTATGACTAGATTTTCTGACCAGTTTGACTAATGCCCTTAACATTCAACACATTTTCTTACAGAAAGGTAGATTACTAGAGTTTCCAGAAAGCTAAAAATATATATATCAAAAATACATATATACCAAATGACTGTGACAATGGAGTAAAACATTGTGCATCATATGACAAATATTAAGAATGTACCTATATCCTTCAAATATTTGAAGGAATTATGTGTAAAGTTAAGCATTATTTAAAAAATAAAACAAAAATTAAGCCAAATTTTTTAAATCAAGTCAGAATGCAATTGTTTAAAAGTTTTTTCCTTTAGATCTAGTTCTAGGATGTAATCTTCTTGGCAATAGAGACTGGGATTTTTTTTTTCTTTCTTGTTTCAGTTGTCCCCTTTAAGCTCTTTATTTCATTATTAGCAGCTTTAGTGGTTCAGAAGTATCTTTTTTTTTTTTTTTTTTTTTTTTTTTTTTTTTTTTTTTTTTTTGTAATATGAAATGATTTTCCCCTCTGGTGACAATGTTAGAGAAAAGTGCTTTGGGATTATTCTCAATACAGACACTACAGTTCTTTCAGTCAAACAGTTTGAATTTAGATGTAAAGAAAATGTAGATTGCAAGAGTAGATGAGCCATCCTATTCAAAACGGGCATGACTAGATAGTTGACCAAATATACACCTGAAAATGATTTGAAGGTTACAGAAATCCAAGAAACTATAATGCAAAAATTCTCCCAAGATCATCATTGTGGTCAACTCAATTGATGTACAGATCGTCAGGCCTTTGGTTTTTATCGAAACATGCCAGAAAATGAACAACATGGACAATTCTGTGATGTTGAATTCCAATCTCATTACTCATATTTGCTTCCAACTAGCATACATTACAGAAAGTTAGCTTTGATACTTTGTTTATATTGTCCTAATCCAAACAAGGATCCTGACTAAAACGAAACTACACTTTAGATCTATTCTACTGCTGAAGTCACAAATCCAAACACCCAACTTCCTACAACCATCCTGACTTATCTGTGGTTTGTTAAGCCTTTTACTCCATTGAGACCCCTAAATCATTCCACTTGCAGAAAGCCTGAAGGCCTCTTTGCTTCCTTTCTTCCCAAGAGTGTGAAATCTCTGGCTTCTTTGTTTTTGGCCTCACAAATAAAGGAATCACGGAGACTGCCATTTCCTATTTACAATGGTACAGAGGAGACTTAGTGGACTGTGAAGATCTATGTACTTCGCAACAGTTCTGAGAGCCTGAGCATTAGAGGGGGGCAGGAGATTAATTCTTGTAAATGAAAGATAGGCAGAAGTAATAGGCAGTTTCCAGCTTGAAGCTGTTAAGAGAATAGCCTTTCCTTTGTCTTCCTCTTTCTCTTCTTCTCTTCCCTCTGCCCTGCCATTTCCTTGTCTCTGTGTATATTTTCCTTTCTCACTGCACACACCCACCACTTTCCCCAACTGGCTATTGGAAGCAAAGGACCCTAAGATGTTGGATTTGCAAAAAGAAAGGAGCACCTGTGATTCCTGATTCACAATCAGGAGAAAATTACATGGGCCGGTAATATAAGATGATAAATACACTTTTTTTTCTTTCTTACATTGTACTCACTGAGTCCTATTGTATCTTTTTAAAGCTGATAAACCTTCTTTGGTCATATCACATAACTTTTAAAATATAATAGTTTCACTGTTCATAGTTTCATTCTAACTGTGGTATAATTTCCATTGTGATTTATTATTTAACGAGAGTTACTTGACATAGCATATTTAGTTTTCAAACATATTAAAGCATATTTTATTATATATTTCTAGTTTAGTAGAATTGTGGCTTGATAAAATGGTCTATGATACTGTGATCTTAGGAAATTTTCTTTTTGTGCTTAAAATTAATATATATTGCTGCCTTGCTGGAAAAGCTCTGTATACCTATTTCTGTGTCAGCCTGTGATATAGTATGTGTGGGACCCAAGGAATTTAACAAAAATCCCCTACCCCTGGACAAGCAGAGCAAGACTAACTCCATTTTGTGCTACACCCACCATCTCATGTATAACCCCCATATGACCTACTTACTGCTTAAGACACTCCCCCACCCTAGTCAAGCCGCTGAGCACACCCTTACTGGAAACCAGCTCATATAGGAATGCAGAACCCCTAGCCGCCAAAGAATGTAAACCCTGCCTTTTGCCTGCCAAACTTGCGTGCCAATTCTGACCAGAGTGATAGGCTAGTTCAAACAGTTACTGTAGGGTAAATTGTAATTCAATTGGCTACCTGCGTGTGGCCTGACATGACTATGCAACTTTGTGTGTGTTACAATCTCATTGGC